AGTTGGTGAACTGGTGCACCAATGAATTGGTCCAAGTTGGTGAACTGGTGCACCAATGAATTGGTGAACTTGGTTCACCAAGTTGGTAAACTGGTGCAGCAAGTTGGTGAACTGGTGCACCAATGAATTGGTCCCAGTTGGTGAACTGGTGCACCAATTAATTGGTGAACTTGGTGCACCAAGTTGGTAAACTGGTGCACCAATGGTGAACTGGTGCACCAAGTTGGTAAACTGGTGCACCAAGTTGGTGAACTGGTGCACCAATGAATTGGTGAACTTGGTCATCGCCAATGGGGAGATGTTCCTAACCGCTGGAATCCTGTTTACTGTCAAATTAGTGGGGAGGCTGCCAGGTCAACCCCCAAAGGCTCTTTCCTTTGTCTTGAAATTGGGATTCCTGGGGACCTGAAAACGAGATTGTGTTGCTTTTCCGGGGAAGGAAGGAAGAGGTCCCTCTCCGGTACCCCCTTCACGTGGATGAAGTGGAATCGGGATGGTCTCTTCTGCACTCAAAGTGCAGGAATCCCCCCCCACCCCCCTCCCCCAATGCAAGCCGGCTCCCGGACCGATTTTTTTCACGAGGAGTGACAAACACCCCAGACGAAAGCGTCAACTGTGGCCGAACCCGCTTGGATGAGGGCTGAGCTCCTGGCCAGAGGACAAGGAGACCAGGACAACCCCCCCACCCCACCCCACCCCTGCGGGGTGACCAAGGGGGTAGCTGCAGAGGGAGGCGGAGGTGGGAGGCGTGCAAGGGCGATCTCGTAGGCAAACCGGCAAACCCTTCCAGCAACAGGTGCGGATCTTAAGCCACTGTGCCACCACTCTGCCCCTAAATGGTGATGATTATTGTATTGAACATATATATATATATGTATATTTATATTATAAATGTCATGTGTTGTGTTGTGTTATGCTGGAACATGTGGAACCTGGGAACCACTGATGTAAAGGGGGAATTCAACAACCTGACCCTCCCTCCATACCCCTGCTGCTATGTGCAGTCTTACCACAGGAGAGCTGAGCGGAGAAGCCTTCACAGGCGATGCTTTCTCGTGTCACAGCTGGGCAAAATCCTGGAATATTAATCCAACTTCATTTGTCATTATACTTAACGCGGGTGCATGGTATAGTGAAAAAGGGTTCCACGTTCGTCTCTCGGGTGCAG